CGGTCTTGTACATTACCACCTCCGCGATTCGCTTGCAGAGCTTATCTGTACGACACAGCTTCGAGAGTGCGTCGTCGCGGCCGACTTCCTTTACATGCTCCATGATCTTCAGGAGAAGTTCTTCCGGTATGCCACCAAGACACGCTTGTGGGTTTTTGAGTACGATAGGGAGATCCGGGCTGCCGGGGCCATCCTCGGTGGCCGTGTGGGTGACCTTGACGGATATCGAGACGGATCGGGTACGTTTAGCCGAGGCCGAGGCGTGCGAGAGTGAAGCTTTGCGCTTCTGTGGCGTCGAGACGGTAGCTGGCGCCATGGCGGTGGTGGGTTCGAGCGGATGTGCACCTCGTACAACGTCGATGTAGGCTCCAGGGTGAGATGTACAAGTGTCGTAAGGGGTACAATTATTCTGGCAAAGCTGTACAGTCGAAGAACACCCGCGTGGAAAGAGTTGGCCGCCGACACGAAAGTGAGTGGTCGTGGTGGTGAGAGGAAGTCAAGAACTCGGGACGCGAACTAGAAGAAAACAACAACAAAACGCGTCGATGCGCGCCCTTCACACGCGTCACCCGATGCATGGCCACTCACGGTGAGGGCCCTGAGTGCGCGCGCAGGTACGAGAGGAATGCGCTGCTCTGGCCAATCGGGAGCGTCACTACGGAGGTGTGAAGCGGAATATTCACCTCACCGCCGCCCATCTGGCGTTTGAAGGGTGCAAAGTGTGCGCACGCATGGCCAGGTCATTGGGAGAATGAGTATGTGAAGTGGGTGTAGCATTGACCGCTAATGCATCAGGCATGCCGATGTTGCTGCTCAGAGGATATCTCGATGAGTATCCCTCCGCCATATGTTCAGAAAAGAAAAAGCGGACATTTAGCAAAAGGCAAGGCGGATAGCCAAGTGTCTTGGACCCATGCTAGCTTTTCTGCCCAGTACTCTCCGGTTCCACGAACATATACAGGTTGATCGCGGTCATTATCATAACTCTGGAGCGCCAAGCTACCAATGGCTGTAAGCTGCTCTTCAGATCTTTCTTCGAGGAAATCACCTACTCGAACTTCTCCCGCCTCTACTCCCATATACATCATCCTGAAATGAAACCTTCCAAGCATATATGGAAGCAATGCAGTTTCTGTATGAAGCTGACGAGAGGTAAGCAGTAACGCTAGGTCGCTCTCTTTCGCTGAGTTCTTCGGTGTGCTCCAGCCGACGAACGTCCACTTGTTGTCGCCGAACACGTAGGGGTATATTATGTTCCGTATTTCGCCTGGCAAGCGGAGAAGAGGCGAGTTGGTAGCGTTAGCTTCGGTGCTACAAACGATACATTAGCTTTCGAAATGGCAAAAGCTGGATGACTTACATCTTGTCGCGAGGAGCTCTTTCGCGGAGACGTCGAATCGCTGCCCTCTCTTCAACACCCTCAAAGCGCTGCTTCTTTGCTGCGGGCTGGACGTTGAGAGGAGAAGACATTGCGGGGTACTTTCGTGACATCTTGGTGCGTTGTGCTGCGGGTGGTGTAATCGAGCGAGGTGGTCGGTTGAATGTGGAGGGGAGTAGAAGTAGGTTGGGAGCAGACTGCCAGACTGGTACAGGTGCGGCATTCTCTACTAAGCTAGTGGCCGCTGAGAGCGGCAATGGAGGGCCATGCGTGTTATCTGCATTTGCTAACTTTCACCGTTCATTGCTACCCCATTTCTTCACTTCGAAGCTTCCCCAATCCAGACATACGGTCGCTCTCTCATTCTGACACAAGCAGTTCAGAAGAGATCCGATTCATGTTGCCTGTGCTGACCCATCATGTTCTTCCAGGAACTTTCTGCCGAAGCTATCAAACACCTAGTTTCTTGGCCCACCATACCCCAGTCTTCTGCCCTGCCCATTGATGGTCGTACGATTCCACATGAGCCTGTAAACTGACGATCGCTTTGATTTGTTTGACCGATCTCTTCTTCAGGAATTTTTCAATGCTTTGGTTCCATTGGCCCCATTGGTAGCTTCCATCGAAAAGAAAATAGATCCTGCCGAGCTTATATGGGAGCAGAGCGGTGTCAGCGTGGGCTTGACGTGAGACCAGGAGAAGACTCATGTCCATTTGCGTAAATGATCCTGCACAAGAGACAAGGCAACCCTTGCGTCCTTGGAAGATGTATCTCTTGCCGCTGAAGATATGGGTGAAGATCATGATCTTAATCTCGGCTGGTAGGCGTAGAAAAGGTGAGTTAATGGAGTTGAGCTCAGTGCTGTAATACTTGTCAGTCGGACCAGTCGCATAGCTTGTTATGGTACTTACAGCCGATCGAGTGAACTTGGATCCCGAATTACGTCCCTCTGACGGGCCCTCTCGTCGCGAATCTCTTGTGCGAAAGCTGCACTCGCCGAAGATGGCGCTTTGCACTTTCGGGGTGCCATGATGAATTGGACTTGGGGTGCCGAAAGCGAGGTGGTCTTGTAACAAGGCTGCGTCGTAGAAGGTGAGAGCACCTGTGCGGTCCATTTGTTGAATGCGGCTAGCGTTGTTTGACTAGCTGCCGGCGGAGGGCAGGGTGCACCGCCTTGGGTCGCTCATCCCGAAATCTGTACAGTTCTCCGGTGATCGTCTAATGCTTCATACACAAGACTGGCGAGAGATGAAATGCGTCCGCCGAAGAATTAAGTACTATGGGCATTCTCATAATTGTATACTCACATGTCTTTGATTGGAAGGAAAGATGCTAACGTAGTCACCAACTGCAATGGTCAGAATACCCATAGATTTGTAACTCGATGAATACCACCGCATGTATACATAGACGCTCCACTAATGGTCTCAAATTTCCCCCACTCTTCGTCTATACCATTCCGGACACAATGCCTCCACATCATTCTTAGCGAATGCGTCAGCCCATTGCACCCCAGTACCCCAATATGGCCTATTGTCTCTGGTCCTAGGATCATATCCAACGACTTCAAACTCCTCGCCCATAGCTCTAAGCTGTTCCTTCGATCTCCGGCCGATGAAAGCCCTCACATAAACTTCCCACGGGGCTTCCGGCCTATGGAGATAAAATTGAAATATCCCAAGTTTATATGGAAGCAACGCGGTTTCAGCGTAGAGCTGACGAGATGTGGCTACTAAGCCGAAATTGCACCTATGGAACGAGAATATCTGACCGGGATCGAAGTCCATGTCGTTGTTATGATGTACAAAGCCGCAGGCTGTGCTGCTAAAGACGTAGGTATAGATTGTGTTGCGTAGCTCGGCGGGTAGGCGGAGGAGGGGCGAGTTGGCTGCGTTGAGCTCACTTCTACGTAGTTTATCAGTTTTGCATTCGTGAGATTAGGGATTGAGGCTCTTACATTTTGTCGTGACGAGCTCGCTCTTGAGGAGTGTGGGTGTCTTCAAGAGGGCGGGATGACGCGTAAGTCGCGGGTCTAGAGTAGACTCGGTTGTAGAACGAGTCCTGGGGGGTTTTGAATCTCCAAGATGACATGTTGTGCTGCGTTCGGGGCTCATGTGTCAGTGGGAAGAGTACTGGTGGAAGGAGAGAAAAGGGGGTAGAATACAAGTAGTGTAAGTAATATTGTCAATGTGGCATACAAAGGCTCACTTCAACCGATGGCTAGCCGAAAAGTAGAGTGAACTTAGGAGTAGAGCAATCGATCAGAGAGAGTTCTTTGTCGTTCACTCTTACAATTCCGTTGTTCTTCGGCTGCGTTGTATCAACGCGAAGGCAAGTTGAGTGAAGTTAACACTGTTTGGAAGGGACATCGATTGGCCGACGAAGGGCATGTAATGTGAATTGATCGAATGGACTAGTGGCAACGTTGCTGCTCCGGTTTGATCTCAGACTGTCGCAGTCTTGGTGTGCCAACTCAAAAAGCTGATACAAGTATTCAATGTATGACCAGTGAGCACTTACTTCTGGTTGTGTCTTCGCGCAGAGCACGTTGCCGCACACTGTTCAGAGCATGATGCTGGATCATTCTCAAAGCTCTTCCCCATACTCATATCGCCGATTGCGATTAGCAAAATGACAGACGCTTCAGACTTTGGTAGCACCTCGTAAGAGCTAACCCGCGAAGCCCTGATGCTGTACGATAGAGCGCCATAGGTTGTTGCTGCTTCAGATCTCGAAGTACTGCGCGGGCCTCTCATAACAGGCCTGGAGAAGCGCCTTCATGCCTGGTTCGTGACTACTGGCAAGTAGTGACATGCGTCTTCAGCACTGAAGAGCAGCAGTTCCAGAGCTTCATAGGGGACGAGTTGTCTTTCCTCCCTGGGCGCACCAATGGGGTCGTAGCGATGCTACGACCTTATATTCCGTGATCTTTATGGTATCAATAGCGCTGTTCGTGCGAGAGCCGGTGTGCTAACGATTGCGAATCGGTTCGCATCGAGCGAGGCGTATGCGTCGATACTAGTCGCGTTCGCGAACGAGAACCTCGATGACGTGGGGAACTCTGAAGAGCGTGCGGAAGCACTCTGGTAGTTAGTAGCATGCGATGTAAATATGGAAGGTACAGGCAATGTCCCGCGGTGGCTAAATGCCTGTGAGAGCTTGACGCGTCGACGCGTGGAGGAATCAGGTCATGACGCGAATGGCGAGCCAAACCTCGTTAGTGCAGATGTGGGTCTTTTCCAAGAGGGTCCTAGCTCCTGTGCACCCTCCTCAGCCGCACCCGTGGACGATGCCGCGCCAACCTGACTTGCTCATGTCTTGACAGCTTACTTGATCACGTTGGTATTTAGGGAGAGTTGTCGCGTTTTGTCAGAGACCTTGAAATTCAGGCTGCGCATGTTCTTTATCGACTCCGCAACCCGCGATAATCCAGACGAGATTGAAGAATCTCATCTTAACTCCGCTCATTCACCCTTAGCTCTATCGAAGCTATCTGAAATAGAGCTCGAGGTCTTTCTTCCTTTTGCTTTGAACTCTTTCGCAGCGCAGCTGTGAAGACGCAGCCTGCGCGTCGAGTGACAGTATCGATCGAGTTATTGCGACCGCACAAGGACCAATGGTTCACACAGCCTCGGCGATTGATTTGGCCTTCCTGATCTTGTTATGCCTGGTCTTATACAGATACCAGGCGCCCACAGTGAGCATCGTCAATGGTACCGTAGTCACTACAAAAATCCAAAATTGAGGACTCGCCTGTAATGAGCCATCTTCGCCTTTGAAGTCGAAGAGGTTCATGCCGAGGAACGACTAAACTTTTGTATCAGAATGTATCGAGCACATCAATGTGTATGTAGTCAGCTTACAGCCATGAATGAAGCAGGTAGATATATCAAAGTGAAAACAGTGATGACCTTGACAGTGGCATTGTCGTCAACACCTTCCTGTGTCAAACGCAGTATTCGTGTGCTTATCTCTCTGGAGTTCGCCTGATTCTCGATATCGAGAAGATTAGTGAGCTGTAGATATGTTAGTGATATAGTTTGTTTTGCCGATTCTCTTCTCCTACCAGTCCTAGTGTCGCTTGTACACGTTGTGCCAGGGTATCTGCTACATTGAGGTGACTTTCCAAGCGATGCTCCATAATCTGCAGTTCGCGATGTACGCCATACGAGGGTTCTCTCAGTGATGAGATATTGGTCGCAAGTGCTGTGTTAATACCCATCAAGGTCTGTACGAGAACAAGATTGCTGCGAAGACTTTTGCAGGCCTTACACACTATCTTGTCTTCGATGTGCCGAAGCATTTGGAGACGCTCAGGATTGATAGCAGGATTGGCATCTGACTCGCAGATGTCGACTACGTCAATGCGTCGTCGCTGTCATCTGTGAGCATTGTATATGTTGGGTTCGATATCTGCTTACAATCTGCTCCAGATCACTCGCTAGGCTTTCTAGATAGTCTTGCCAATTTGCCAGGTATGATAATAGGATGACGAGATGGACGGTTAACGGATGTTGTGTTGACTGCGCTGTATTCGAAGACTTGGCCATTGCTTCCAGCTTTGTCTGCGCCACAGCCTCGTCGTTGGGATGGATTACGACAACCTGACTACTACACCTTTCGGAGGAGAATTTGTGCGTAACACCCGTTTGCCTGAAAGACCAAATATCCCGTGGCGGTCGCTTCCCGTTTCGTTCAATATACATGAACTGATAACACAGCTCTAGAAGCAATGAGTTAGTCTACTTCGTACTAACCATTGGTCATTACACAAGGTATCAAAATGACATACCGAAAGATTGATCCACTGATTGTAACGACTGCCGAAACCCTGAGGACTCCTGAAAGATCTGAGGCTGATCACCGAACTTCAGAAGAACATCTACAAACATGCTGGAGATCTGCCAGCTTCTTAATACTGTCAGAATCGCTTCCTTGGGACACATCAAGGGTGCTAACGAGTATTCCTGGCAAAAGGAACTGTGCTTTGCATTAGCTTCATCACACGATTCAGGGTTGTGGTAACGTACAGAACTCGAAACTTGTCGTCGCTGGTTTTCATGAGGTGGTCTCCAAGCTCTGAAAGGTCCTTCGGACATAAGATCACATTCCTCCGTGCATCTACGTTAGATGAGCATAGTTCTTCTAGTATACCTGGGTAGATGTCTGGAGAAGCATTGGCTTACCCAAACTGACGAGGCGCACATGAAATGGCCCCATGCCATCGAATAACCGTTCCTGGTTGGCACATATCCGCTGCAATGGCACTTCCCAGTCGTCAAAAAACGCATTTCTGCTAGCGTACTCCATGTGCAGATCCGTAATGAAAGAGAGTGAAAGCAATTGAGCTATTGTCGTTTTCGTCGAGGGGCACACGCAGGCTAATGACATGCGCTGAACATCTTACAAGGCTGACGCAGTGTACGCCTTCGCAGGTCGCCGCGCCAATGGGAAGGCTTCCAAGGTTCCGGTGACCTTCGCTGCGCACAGAAGTAACAACGTGTCTCGATCACTGCTTTCCAAGAAGCTTGCTGAGTCGCCACGTTTCTATGAGTCTGCCTTCTTTTCTGAACCCCAATTAACATTACGAAGGTCCTCGGGGCCATGTCATTTGACCTCGGGACCATACGACGCGTTTCATAGATGTAGTCAAACGACTACATGCACCCACAAGTCTATCTAGGGTAACAGGGGGCTACATTTTGCAACGGGTATAGGTAGCGCATCGGTGAAGTTTACGAAGGTACGATTGGCGAGCCCGACCAGATCCAGTGCACCACGTGACTGTTCATGACGCGATGCCAAGACCACTAGCTAGCCAATCTTTAGCCTAACTCTGCCGCCCGTCTTTCCACTTGCCGCCCCTATTTCTTCTTCAAAGCGCTACAAAAATCAGCCACGGGTTCGGAGTTCAGATTTTTTCAAGAAGGCTCACCGGAGGTCTGCCTGTATTTCATGCCGTCAGTATGCGTATTGGTTGCCACGATGGATGAGGCGCATGTACGTACCTCGGGTATCTCCTCTGGCGCGTAGAACTCCCACTTATTGCGCTTTTCCTTGGTTACTCAGCCACGTACGTATATATGCTTTTCCAGGCGAGACCTACTTCGATAGCGAACTCATCCACAGACAAGACATCAGGATACTTCGTCTGCAAGAACGTTTCCAACTTCTTCCTTGTTATATATCCCGACGTTCTCTCTTCAACAACATTATGTATCGGTTGACGGGCCATATCAACTTTCTGCTTGGCGCCCTGAGGTCAGCAGGTATTGTTGTTGGTGAATGGTCGGACAAGGCTGATTCGGACTGCTGACTATTCAGGAAATCAGCCTTGGAATCTAGCCTTAGACAGCCGACTGAGCGCATATATACCAAAGTATGACGAACAGAGCCTCAATAGGCTAATGATTCTGTCACTTGTGCTTCGAGTGTGCATGGCATGACAGCACGTCGCTGCAGCAAGCAGCAGGAGGACTGTCAGTCGCTATTGGCTGATCCGCGTCAGGCTGCATGGTTGCTTTTCCCTGGCGTTTTCAGCTCAATCAGCCCGCAATGCGCCTTCCACATCCGGCGACTTTTCTTCTTACAATGTTCTCGGGACATCGTACGGAGTCTCACAGACCGAGCCGCAACCAATCACATGTAGCAGCCCCACACCACACCCTATGCATCATTTATCGTGGAGGCGGAGTTGATGGTGGAGGGCGACAGCTGAGGTATCTGACGCCTATGCAGCCACCTGCGATTGGGTCCAAGGCGTTCGCATCGCGGCACTGCGAAGCAAACGACGAAATGGCGACCAAACGTTCTTTGAGGCTGACAGCCCGGAACCCATGACTTGAAAAGAGCGCGCATTCCCTGAATCTATTGCGTCTATATACTAGGTTCGTAAGACGTTACCCGGCTGTGGCCTGTACTACGTCGTCAGCTTCCATTATGGGTCAATGCTTCTCACGCTTGTACGGCAATCATAACATCTCTACAGCGGTCACACCTGGTATCATCCCAACAACACTGGACGATCAGCGCAATCCTGCACAGACCGAATCAGATTCCACCCGCGCTCAATCGGAAGAGCAGCTCGATCCCGATGCCACAAAAAATGGAAAATTACAAGCGAATCCGCAATCTGTCGACATCGACATGGTTAGAGACGACATCTTCGAAGCATTAGAGGCTGGAATGGTTGGCAAGAAAGGCGAAGACATAATACTTCCTGAAGTGGTCGAGAAGATATGGACGCAAAACCACCACCGGAAGTTCTATATACACCGATCGTGGTACCAGTCGGAATGGGACAGGAACAATTTCATGGATGAGATGATTCAGATAATGTCAATTTTGATTCGAATCAGTTTCGGACAATGGCCCCAGTTTGGCGAAAAGTTTGTCAATCACGGAGATCGTCGGGACTGTAACCTTCCTTTCGCCTTAGAAACATTGCAGGACAAGGGCTTCCTGGGGAAGTCTCTGGGAGCGCTCTTCTACGAGAAACAGTTCGCCTTTTGTCCGGTTCCGATCCCGGAGCAAGAAGATAAGTTCGTACTGGACAGAGAAAAGCGGCTCCCCTGGATCGATGAACCAGAAAAGATAGGGGAAGGCGGCTATGGAGTAGTCACCATGCGAACAGTGGCGAAGGGATTCTTGCACTTCCAAGATCGCACCACCAATCTCGAGGTAAGTCGCTGCTGCCACTACGGAGCATCTTGCGTATCGCTAATCGTTACGTTAGCCTAGAGCTGTCGCCGTAAAGACATTGTCAGGGAAGCTTGAGCTCCAGGAGGAGGAGGTCAAGAACATGAAAGAGCTGCGCAGATGCCTGAGCGATCACAAACGAATCATGGTCAATCTCGTCACAATGGTAGATCAGTCAAGCCCGACAAACACTTATCACATTGTTTACGAATTGGCCGCGTACGATCTGAATGGCTTCCTCACCGATATGCCCTATGACCTAAGAGCGAAACGCCATACGACAGCCAAGCTGGGAAGAACGGGCTCTATATACATGTGGCCGGGCGACCTGATCTCAGAAAGCGTCAATCTCGCCGATGCATTGGACTTCATTCACAACCGACTCTATTCGAAATCTCATGTATCACTGTCCCATAACGACATCAAACCAGAAAACATCCTGGTAATCTATCCCGAAACTACGAATGAGCAAGATTGGTACCCTGTGGGACAGTGGAAACTTGCCGATTTCGGGCTCTCCGTCGTCAAGAACAAGCGATCATCTGACAGCTCTAACAAACACCTGAGCGCAGATAACGCTTTGTTCAGTCCCTCGAATCCACAGCAGACACATAGGACTGAGAGACCCAGTTCTGTGTCGAAAGCCATGCCTGCGAGATACCCGGGCCAGTATACGGCCCCGGAGTTGGATCAGAAGACCCCCCAGAAGGCAGATGGCAGGAGTGCGGATGTATGGTCATTCGGATGCGTCTTGTCTGAGATTATTACCTACGCTGTCAAGCTGGACTGTAAGCCTGTCGAGAAGTTCCGCAAGTTACTCGAGCAGAGCGACCCGCCAGATCCAAAGTTTTACCATCACACAACCAAGGACGTCAAGCAGGAGTTTCTCGACCATCTTGATACACTACCGGCTATGGCTCGCGAAGACACGCGCACCCCCAACGACACTCACTGGACAGCCTCCTGTGTTAAGCTCATTAAAGAAATCGTAGTGAAAGATCCTAACGCTCGACTTGGGGCAAACAAAATACGACCTAAGCTCAGTCAGATTGAACTCTCCATGCGTCCCGAGAAACAGATATGGCTAAACCATAGTTTGCCACCACTAAATATGGGAGCAGTTACTGTGAACCCAGACCCTGCGCTATCATGTCCAACGGGTGCTATATCTGCAAGTCCGACAGACTACAGCGATTCCAATCATGAAAGAGACGATTCGATGAGTAGGGTACCAAGCATATCTATCAATCCCCCGGAGCACACGAACTCAGAGGTATCGCGGCCTACACACCTCGGCGATAGTGACAGACGGAGAGCGACAGCGCCTAGATGAAGTCAGGAAGGCCTTTGCTTTACTAGAGCTTTGCGCATACTCCTCCATAGTAACCCATGTTTCCTGACTAGAGATCGCCACTTTGTTCTTTTCCCATCTATGCTACGCTCTTGTCCCCCTGAAACGTGTTTACGAAGTCGCTTGTTGGTACCTCCAACCTCATCCAAATCGCTTCTCTGACCTCCTACCAATCAACCCCTTCACATACACATGAAATTCATCTTCTTGTAACAAGATATGGATTATCCCAAGCTGATGCATCGTGATAGTAACGATCACCTCCTGCCTGCTTACCGAGTTGGCAAACCACCATGTTCTTATCGTCCATAACCTGCTCTTGTTTTCTGGTTCTGTTCTCCATGAACCTCTCCACACAGTATGACCATTTGCCCTTGGAAACCCTGAACTCGAAACTGAAGAAGCCGAGCTTATACGGGAGAGGGCCTGTCTCGGCATGCAGTTGGCGTGAAGCAGCGATGAGACCCAGATTACATTGGTCGAACGAGTCCAGGCACTGAGTCTCGGGAACGTCCCAGCAGTATTCGTCAAAGGTGTACGTTATGCCGGTGAAGATGTAAGCGAATATGAAATTCCTGATTCCGGCTGGCAGGCGAAGGAGAGGCGAGTTGAGCGCGTTGAGTTGAGTGCTACGATGGTTTGTTAGCCGACACTCTTGATTACGTGGGAAAGGGGAGCCTACATATTGTCGCGGCGAGCTTGACCTTGAAGAGCTTCATCGGGAAGAACTTGATCTGGGAGAAGCTTGTCACGAAAGATTTGCTCACGCGCCGCTTCCCTTCGTTGAGCTCGAATATCGCGCGCTTTCTTTCTGGTAGATTGTGCGCCAGCACACGGTTTCTGTACGCGCTTCGGTGGCGCCATGATAATAGATGTGTTTTTGGGATGTTGAAAATATCAAGAATAGTGTAGATAGAAGATGAGGTAGAAGGGAGTCCTAAAGATATGATAGAACATGCGAGGTCTCTTTACTTGGTTATCATCCACTCCACCCAACGGTACTGTGGCGATGCAGAGCGGAACGAACCACTCACAACTTACGAACTTCAAAGCAGATCCATAAAAGTAGGTTCACTTGGACAAGAAGTATCGTCAACACAAGCACTTGCAATCTTTGGTGAAACCTCCTCGCAGGTGGCCGAGTGCACATAGTGTATATTGATTGTACATACCGCTGCAGATACAAGTTCTCCGAAGCACTCCTCATTGCCATATTTGAACTGAGTCGATCTGAATAGACGGTCGCTCTCCAGTCCTGGCAGAAGTGGTCCAGGAAAGGATCCGATTCAGGACATCGATACGAGCTCAGGCATATTGTCCCCTGACTGGCACTCTTCCGAATCACCACACACACATTTCCATCGCCCAATCAAACCCAGACTGAGTGTTTTCCCACATGGTGCCATACATCTCCTGTGTGCTGACTTGCATTGTAGCAATTGCAGCTATCTGCTTCCGGGACCTAGCGCGGAAGAAGTCTTGCAGTACCTCCTCATACCATTCGTCTCCATCGAAGTCGGGTTCCTCAAATTCAGACTGGAAAACTCCGAGCTTATAAGGAAGTGACGCGGTCTCAGCATGAAGCTGGCGAGAAGCGAGGAGTAGACCAAGAGCGTTGGTTTCCAACTTTCGCCAGATAAGTGTATTCCCATCTTCTGGCCTCTTGCCGGTGAACAAATATCCACCAAAAAACATAGCGATTGCCCTCAAAGACATATTCGTAAACGATGTTGCGGAGCTCGGCGGGGAGACGAAGAAGAGGGGAATTGGCGGCGTTGAGCTTGCTGCTAAAGCGCCGTATCAGCTTTCGAACATGACTTGTGAAGCTGCGCACTCGCATGTTTGCGCGGAGAGATTTCTGTCGAGAGAGTTCGGCGACAGCGGACTCCTTACGGTGTGCCTCATCAAGTAGCGCCTGATCACGGCGAGCCTGATCGCGAAGACCTTGCTCGCGCTGGGCTTGATCTCGAACCGCAGCTCTCTCACGAGCCCTATCGTCGCGCTTCTTCTTCGACGAGGGCGCCTCGGCTGAGGAAAATGTTGAGCGCTTGCGAGGCAGCATGTTGGTGTGCGCTTGGAGTGTCGGTAATGTTGAGAAGTGAATGAGAGTGGGAAGAGTAGGGTAGTGGAGGTGCAAGGTGGTGGAGTGTGCGATAGCTCGCTAAGACGACATGTAAACACCTACGCGCCTCGGTTGCTAGGCCACCATATCAGGCAAGAACGCCAAGTCAGATCAAATGTGGACACGTCATCCGGAAAGCACACTTTCTAACGAGCCTTGTGCCATCTCTCAAGACTCCTCCAGCAGAAATAGATATGTATCACATGTCATATAGCAGTTCTGCTCACCGCGTCTTACTGCAAGGTGTAGTTACCAACTTCATGATACAGATGTCAGAGGAGCCGTGCATGACACCGCTTTTCAACTTCAACGACCATTTCTACGCAGTTGACCATTTACGGACGTTACGAGAACTCTCCGGCTGCTCCGACCTCGCCTATCAAGTCCAATAGATACTAGCAAATACTTCACGCATAACGCACGATGTATCGGAATTTCTTGATCTTCAGCCTCTTAACCCAGTACAATCCAGTGCCCATCGCAAATACCTGTTCTTCATAGGACCAACGGCGTAGCGTCAGACAAGACATAGCTTTGATCTGTTCTTCGGAACGCTTAGCCAGAAACCTCCTCACGTAGGCCTTCCATTCTCTCTTGTCGGCTTTGTAAACCAGAAAATCAAATGTGCTGAGCTCGTAAGGAAGATAGGCAGCCTCGGCATGGACTTGACGTGATACCAGAAGCAGGCTCATATTGTTTTCGGTAGATGATCCAGCACAAAGCGTTTTCTCTGTGGGTTTGTTGTCCTGGAAGAAGTTGTACGTAGTGTTGTCAAAAGTGCAAGCGTAGATCAGATTGCGGAGCTCGGCGGGCAGACGAAGGAGAGGGGACTTGGTGGCATTGCGCGCGGTACTGTGGTGCGACATTAGTGATGTCTCTCCAGCAAAATCCGCAACTGTAGACATACATGCGATCGTTGACGTCCTGGTCTTCAAGATCCTCCTTGCCACCAATTTCGAAGGTGGGAGTCTTCTTGGCATCTGGTGCGTCGGTGGTAGCCAGCGCAGCGCGATTCCGAGACGGGGTGAGAGCTTTGGGACCAGTCATTGGGGGTGATGCGGGCTGTACGGGCACAGTGGTATGAAAGCGAAGCGTGCGAGTGTTAGGCAATTGGTCAGCGCGGTAGAGGTGGATCAGCGTAGGAAAAGCGCTTGCGTGTGAGACTACACTAAAAAGGCGCAAAAATTGGCGTGCCTGGGACGCTTGGTTTTCACGATGGAAGCCAGCACTAAGATAGGCAAGTCATGTCGAGAGCGGGTGTCATTGAGAGTCATAGGTCGAACCACCGCTTCTCATCTGTTCACTAGCTTACGTACAGTGTGGCTAGCACAGTCCCACTTGCGGTTTCGAAACCAACGAATCAAATCAAGCCCTCTCTCTTCCAACATTCAGACAAGTACTCTTTCTCTTTCTCCAATTTCGCAGCCCAGTAGGCACCAGTGCCAGTCTCTTCGATCCACCCTAAAAGTGCGTCGTACGATCCAATCACAACATCACCGAGTACCTCGATCTGCATATTGGATCTTCTCCCTAAGAACCTTCTCCACGCCTCAGGAATGTCGAGAAATTCGAAGTTATCGCAGCCGAAGTGGAACGTTGCGAGCTCGTACGGAAGCAGCGCGGTTTCCTGATAGACCTGACGAGAAACATAAAGTAGATCTAGCCCGTTGTTGCCGGAGAACGTGAAGACATCAATCTGGCAAGAGTACCAGGAATCTTTGTCCAGTCTAGCAACTTCATCGCAGAAAACGTAGTGATACACCAGGTTTCTGATTTCGGCGGGGAGGCGGAGGAGAGGTGATTGTATAGCGTTGCGCTTAGAGCTAGATTACCAGATCAGTCACACTTAGACCTAACAATTATCACAAGGGAGGCTTACATTTCGTCAAGCCGAGCACGTTGACGTTCCTGGAGAAGCCGCTTGCGCGCCGCGGCCTTGAGACGGCGAGCCCTACGGCGAGCACGGTGAAGCATCTGTATCCCGAAAGAAGTCCGAAACATTGCCGACGAGATGGTTGTGTGTGAGCGCGGTAGGTGAGACTGTGGGATGAGGGGTAGATGTTAGATGAGAGCGTGAGGGAAGTGCGGGAGTGTAGTAAAATACGCCAAGGCTACAATGAGGAAGTCGCGTTGTCGCGGCGCTGGGTAGCCGTGTGTCATGGGAAAAGGGTACGTCCACCTACGATTTAGACCGTTTTAGGAAGACACACACAACGAGAGGAAATAGTCGCATCAAATGCGAAGCCGGTTTTTAGAGCCGACGCATTTCTTGCGTTGACCTGTGAGTAGCACCGAGCAGGAGTCACCCAATCAATAGTAGACGTATGAGGATCATCTGTTGCAAACACTGAAGCTACAACACAAAAGTCTTTGAAGGTATTGAACCATTTCGGTTTGGGTGGCATTAATCAATACAAGTTTCTCGGCCAATACAAACACAAGGCTGCTGCTTGTAGAGTCAAACGTCGGCCCAGTGATCTGTGCCATTGTCGAGGATATAATCAATCTCCTTCGAGAAGAAGTCGGCCCCAGTCCCATTCCATCTCTTCTTGCAACACACGACCTCCATTCGACCGAGTACCGCAAGTTGCGCTTCGGACCTTTCTTCTAGGAATACCTGTGCATCCATTGGATGCAATGGATACTTTCCATCGAAGACGAAGGCGGCGAGCTTGTAAGGCAGCAAGGCGGTTTCGTGGTAGACTTGACGAGAAACGAGAAGCAGACCGAGGTCCGTATGTTCAGCGAGACACAGGATTGAGATGTAGTCCTTGTCCAATCCGTCATAGTTATGGACCTGATCACTGAACACTTGGGTATAGATCGCGTTTCGGATCTCAGCGGGAAGACGAAGAAGCGG